AGCCTAAAGTCAGATTTGCAAACATCATTTCCCGTGCATTGATAATGCAACCTAATAATCAAAATCCACAAGATTGTCCAAAGCAAACACTCGACATTCTAACAACAAAATAACTTGAAGAAATAATGATAGATAGTCTTCAGAGATGCGGAGTGAATGACAGAGAGGGGGGGGTATGGACTTAGGCCCCAAATGTATGCCAGTGCATGCATCAGCCACCCCCCTGCACTCTCCTCTGGGCCAGGAGCTGTTTACCTCTCTATCAGCGGTCCTCTCTAAAAGCTGGGACCCCATCCATATTCACCGGCCTCAAATTCCTCTGCTTATCTCCCCCCAACCCTTGAAAAACCTCCTCGTGTTCCCCTTTGCACATACATACATACATAAACACGTCTTTATGGAGGCAAGAGGCAAACGCGCTGGGCCAGGAGGGTGTCGGGGATAAGAATCACCTTGAATTCAAAGCAGAGGATTGTGGGTCCTTGGCAGGCGGATGGATGGACAGGAAACCAGGCACATAGGCTAAGGATCACACTGGCATGACACACAAAACTGCTAGACAGGTAGAAAGAGGCTTTAGGCAGGGGGAAGGGGTGTGTGCAGCAAGAATATTAGCAATTCAGAGGATTTGGAACAGTAAGGTGTGATGCTTTCAAAATTGTGTGTGATGTCAGGTGATCTGTGTCATTAGGTGATGGATGCTTGTGCAGGTTGTTTTTCTGTATAAGCACATTTGTGCTCTACTCTAAACATGAGCTTTAAATGTGGAGTTTTACGAGGAGTCTTTTAAAATTGAATTGAAATTTTTGCTTGTATGTCAAAAAGTGAACTCAAAAAGCTCTGCTGGCACAGGAAATAGGATAACTCTTATGGGCACTTAAAAAGTTATTGAGAAATATAATTGGATTAGCTGTTGTTCACAACACTGAGATTTATATGAAGTGGACAAATCACTTGTGATGGTGGCTGCTTTGAAAAGGGGAGCAGGAGACTGGCTGATAAGAGCTGAAAGTACAAGTGAGGGCTCAAAGAGTGCTTGAGCAGAAGCAGAGACACATGGAGTAGGGGGGGACCGGTACCCCGTTCCTGTACAAGCTGCGTTGTTTGGGGATTGAAGTTGGGAACTCTCTCCACTACTAATTGCGCGCCGGTGCTTTCATGAATATTCATTCTGGCGTGTTCAGACCCCGCCTAATTAGCCGGGAGATAGAGGAAGAAATTCGCACCTTTTACCACAAGAGAAGCGTTTTTCCCCCGTCGCATTCTCAGGGGGATGCTGGCAGAATAGCCCAAGTTCATTAGCCAAAAAAGAAAGCGAAAAAAGTTACCTGAAAAGCACGGGACGATTTTGGTCTTCAGAATGGATGGGCAAACAGGATTTTTTTTTAATTACAATTGCATATTTAGTGCCTATTACGCATGTCTGTCAAAAAAAGAAAAAGAAAAAGGAAACGAATTACAATTATCTGATTGAGTGAGTTGGTGGATATTATTCTACTCGCGGTAGTTGAGGGGTACATCACATGAATTTTAAAATCTAAATATAGCTTGTGGCAGTTCGAAATGTTCCCCCTGGAATTGAGGAAGACTTGTATTAAACATCTAATATGAAGCCGCTGCCGTTTTAGGAACGCGAGTGTCTTATTTCGGATATATTTGTGGAAAACAAAACCCGATTTAACTTTATTTCGGACTTAAATGTCGAAACTACTAAAACCTCGAAATGCAAAAAAAATCTAATGTAAAGCTTTGCTGCTAAAATCAGTTACATTGTGAAATGATATATATTCACTTTGTTTCAATTGTTCTCTGATAAAACATTTAAACTTTGTCTCCAGCAACATTTTATTCGAGATACAGAAACGGCTGTGAGATCATTTTATAATCATCCTATTTGTCGTGTTTAATTTTAATGCATCCCTCCCATCCTAACTGTACTCACAACAAGGCAGCGCGTAAATGAAAGGTGGGGTTTGGTTAATTGAAGGGTCGATGAGGTTTTGTTGGCTGAGTTGCGCCCTGGCAAAAACTGCTGCATTTAAAGAGATTGGGATTGAGGGGGGAGATTAACACGTGACTGCCCCAAAAAGAAAAATGCCTCTACTCCTAAACAACAACCTTAATTAGAGAAGCACGGATATTCTAAAATTGTGAGCGGTCCGGGAAAACGTTGTTTGGTTAGTTTTCTGTTGTTCAGATTTCGTTACACTGTCTCTCCAAATCTGTCAGTGCATCGCAGGAAAGGGGCTCGCAAGAAAGTACAGAATAAATCAGAGAATTGTCTTCTCAGGGTGACACAAAGGGGACTTATTTCGGGTAAAAGAGGTCACCCAACTTCCTCATCTCTGCGGTTCCACTGTAAGTGTGCCTCGTAATTTCTTTCTTTTTTCTGAATCCATCATATCGCCTTCATTTCCAGCCGCTTTTCCTGTACGGCCTGTCATTCACCACTAAGTTCTGTGTGATCCCTTTCATCGAGCGCACCATGGAAACCTCGCGCATCCTGGCAAAAATGCACCTCAGCGCACACAAGGCCATATTCTTTACAAAAGGGCCAAAGCATCTGGACCTTTCTTTTCCAGCAGCTACTCGCTGGCATGGCAAAGCACAAGACTGGGTCTGTGAGGCAGAAACCACTGCTTTTTATAGACTGGGGACAAGAATGACTGAATGGCTAACGCATCTTCATTAACTGAGAGCTGCATGGAGCTCTGGTCTCTTATAGCAGTGACGCGCAAACCCGGGGTCTCTCAAAACAGAGGAAAGACAGTGATTTTTATTAAAGGAGTCGCGTTAGAGGGGCTTTGTCATCCTCGTCATACATGTTACTTTTAATTTTTTTCTCAGATTTCTGCGTTGTATTGCATAAAATATTAATTAAACTACGTAAAGGTTAGTTAATAAATGTGAGTAATACATAGTGCAATTATGCATCAATGTATTTTATGATGTATAAAGACAAATTACTCATGCAAACTATTCATTTTTTAAGAATTAAAGGGAAACATCAAGTGTAACTTATCAATCACGAGTCGTGTTTCTTAAATTCTTACATTGCATCAGAAACGTAATCTTATACCCAAATATCAGACTCTGTTACTAATAAATTGCTCCGAGATGACACGAAGATAACTCGCGAGGACTGTCTCCCACTCATTCCAAATAAATATATAACGGATGGGTGGACAAAAACCACGCCTTTCAAGAGATGATGACGAGCACCTGTGACCCCGACAACATTTTCCGCACACACGTACACACTCACGCCACACACACTCGCTACATTGTTAACGCTGGAGACAAGAGTACAGCAAGGACGCAGTGACAGCAGAAAGGAGACAACTTACCTTTTAGTCTTGTACTCCCGGATTAAAATGAACACTCGAGTTGAGTCGTACTGTAAATAGAAAGAGAATAGTCGCATGGGGAAGATGACAACAAACAAACACGCGGCAGAGATAAAAAGGCAAAACATTGCTTTCAGGTAAATGATTAAAATGGGACTGTTGCGCCTGAAAAACCTTCCAAAAAGCTCCTGTTTTAGAAGGAGCGGAACATGTGCCTGATTGCAGAGTTTTAGGCGAATGGAACGGGAGAGATGTAAGATTTGTTTAAAGCCCCGCATTTCCATTTAAGAACGTGATTGTGTTTGCAAAGATCCCTTTCAATCTTCGCATCCCCCCCTCTCTCTCTACCCCTCAGCGTCTCTGAGGCTGCTTTGCAATTCATAGAATTGGTAATTTGCTATTGGGACAAAACGTGAAGGGAAAAATAATCAGATCAACCGGGAGAGGTAGTGAGGAAGGAGCCAGGAGAAAGAAACACAAGGTTTCTCTCTCCAAGTTGCTGCTTAGTAAAATGCTTCGAGAGGTAAATGATATCAGAATATAGACTTAAAAAAATTAACAATTAAAAAAAAAAATCTGGAATCTGTTAAATCTAAATTTCCAGGGCTGGGGAATATCCAGATTAACCAAGACGCAAGCCAAGAGCTTGGCAGCGAAGAGTCCGTATCATATTAAAAAAATAAAGATTGTTTTATGATTATAAATGGTAATTATCAGATGTGGCAGTCTGGCTTTGAGGATATCAAAACAAGAGGCGTAATGATGGGACTAAATTGCATCGCTATAATATGTCACCTCTGTCACCTGTACTCAACGTATGTGCAGGGAGGAGGGCTAAGGAGCGAGGGAGCACGTTTTGGCCTTTCTGATCTAAGTGGGTGGTGATGATGAGATCACACAACATTGAAAATTACCGAGACAATACAAATAAATGACACACGCGGAGGCTTTGAAACAGAGCAAATGCTTTCGAATTTGTCACACATTTACGACAGCATCCACAGACACGTCGCATATTATTTACACGCCTCTCGTTGTGTGGGTGGCTGCAGAACTGGAGCAGCGCGCCTTATAATCTGTTTAAAACGAGGAGCGCTATAATCATCAGTGACCTATTATAAAGGTGCACGGGTGTGTGTCTGTAAGTGCATCTGTGTGTGTTAGAGGGAGGTGGGGGTGGGGGGTATCCTTCAAAAAGATCTCCGTACTCCCCCACGTGGTTATTTGCAAAACAACCGATCTAAACCAGGGGAAACCTAATCAAACCCCGCTGCTGTAGCCCTGCTCACCTTCCTTGGAGAAAACTGGATGAAATGAGAGAGAGAGAAAAAAAAAGTTTTAAAAAAATGAATAAATTAAAAGACGCGCCTTGTGTGCAGGTTCGCCAAAACGAGCTGCAGAAACTACTGTTAAAAACTCAGAGACATTTATTAAATAGAACATATGTTTTTCTATAACATATGTAAGATCGGAGCTCTGTGCGAAAAATGCGCTGCACCGTGCTCTGAACCCCTGCGCCTATTGAGTGTGTCCCTAGTGGGCTTGAATCGGAGAGGAGCCAATACAAGCGGAGAGGAGGCGTGTCTTCGCTCTTCCACAAGACCTCCCAGAGCAGGTTGTTGCGTTTTGGCTCTAAAGCCTGGAGACCTCCGAAGTGCTCGTCAGTTTTCGAAGTAGGAGCCATGGCGACAACAGCTCAGTATATTCCGAGGAATAACTCCTTACCGTCTAACCCGCTCATGCATCCGGATTCGGACAGGATGCACCAGGGGACGACCTACAGAGAGGTACAGAAAATGATGCACCACGAGTACTTGCAAGGGCTTGCGGCGACCAACACGGGACACCCGATGAGCCTGACGCACCATCAGTGGCTGCCAACCTCCAACACAGACTGGTCCAGCGGCACCCACATCGGACAGGAGCACAAAGCCAGCGTGCAGGCGAGCAGGGAGGACCTGAGCAACGGGTTCCACCACAGGTCTCACCTGGTGCACCAGCAGGCGCAGAGTGGCCACCATGGTTCGTGGGCGCCTGCCACGACGCACCACTTATCCCCGCTGTCCCCAGCATCTAACGGCCACCAGTCACTTGTCTACTCACAGCCTGGATACACAAACCTCAACGCAATGTTGAGTCCCCAGCCCGGCACGCTGCACCATGGCATGCGGGACCCACTCCACGATGATTCGGCCAGCCACGACAACCAGATGGAGTCGCCCCAGCAGGCTTTCAGCCACCACCAGGATCACTCGGACGAGGACGCGCCCAGCTCCGACGATCTGGAGCAGTTTGCCAAGCAGTTCAAGCAGCGGCGGATCAAACTTGGCTTTACGCAGGCGGACGTGGGGTTGGCCTTGGGCACCCTGTATGGAAACGTCTTTTCTCAGACCACTATCTGCAGATTCGAGGCGCTGCAGCTCAGCTTCAAGAACATGTGCAAACTTAAGCCGCTCCTTAACAAGTGGCTGGAGGAGACAGACTCAAACACGGGCAGTCCCACCAATTTGGACAAGATTGCTGCGCAGGGCAGGAAACGAAAGAAGAGGACCTCCATCGAAGTGGCTGTGAAAGGGGCGCTGGAAAATCATTTCTTAAAATGCCCAAAGCCATCTGCTCATGAAATCAGCACTTTAGCCGGTACTCTGCAGTTGGATAAAGAGGTTGTCCGTGTTTGGTTTTGCAACAGAAGACAAAAAGAGAAAAGAATGACACCAGTGGGGGTCCCTCACCCGAATATGGAGGACGTATATTCCCAAGCAGAGACCCCTCCTCTACACCGCACACTACAGAGTCCTGTGCAGTGACTGTTTTCATGAACAATCCGAGCATTTCCGCGGGGGGATAGAAAAGGGAAAGGGGCTATGGAGTTTACAGTATTTAAGTTTGGCTTTTGTTTTCCTGAGAGAAAAGAGACGTGGAAAAGTTGAACAGATCAGTTTTGCCTTTAGTATTCGCGATTCGCGTGCTCATCAAATAGATGGCAAGAGGAAAAAAACGTTAAGAAAAAAAGAATCATAAAAAAGAAAAAAAAATTCGCTATTACTGATTCCGTGCGCATTTAAAGTGAAACAAAGATCTTTATTTACCAAAATTTTACAGAGGAGACATGCATATAAAGTAAATTTGATATCCAATGGCTGCTCCAAATAGGGGGTAATTAAATGTGGCAACTGAGTCCATCTCCTCCTGGTGTACCATGAACTGTAGGCGCTGACCCGAATGAGGTTGTAGCCTGAAAATGATCAACACTGGAGATGAAAAGCCTACACTGAATGAACATTTAGCTTTTTTCAGGCTTAAACTGGTTATCTGAATATTAGTGTATACTTTCTTTGTTATATTAAGTGTGACGTTTTGGTTCGGGAAATTCTTTAACTTCAGTGTCTCTCTTCCTGCAAAGTGTCTATGATTTTGTTCATTATTTGCTATGGGTACTGTATCTCATCAGAGCAACCGCTAATTTCTTATTTTTTCTGTTTACTCAGTGGGAGTTGATGGTTGGAGGAGTGATGGAAATTGTGGCACCCGAAAACACAACACTTACAAATAACGCCAGACACGTTTTAGAAATTGTGCAAGTGCAACAGGACATCCAAGTTCTGACTGCATGCCTTAAAAAAATCGAGCTTTTTGCAGCTGACCACGCCGACATTTGCAAAAAGCACCAAATTAGAAGCAAGCGTTTCTTTTCTTTTCTTTTCTTTTCTTTTCTTTTCTTTTCTTTTCTTTTCTTTTCTTTTCTTTTCTTTTTGGAGGTTTTGATTGTTCTAAAATTATTGTTTTCTTTGCATGGAGCACTTATTCTTTCGTTAATATTAGTAATGCTATATTATGTTTTTAATAAAAGTGTGAGTGTAGCTGATCTCATTAGGCTTAAACACAAAAGCCTAAAAATCCCATGTTTACAGGTTCCTGGTTGGGTTATCACCACAGAGCGCTGTCAGCCCACACTGCTTACTGCCTGTTATCCTGTTGTATCCCAAACATTTTGAGAGATTGGTCAAATATGAAAAGTTATAATAACTCAGGTAACTTCAGTGCCCCATGTCAGAATATGACGCCTGTACATGATTTGTTTTCCTCTGAGTGTGTATTTTATTTTTATTTTATTTTTTAATATAATTCAGTTTTTTTTGTTTCACATTGTCATTGTATTATAGTTAAACGCTGGAATCGGAGAAAAGAAAATTACAATTCATTCATTGAGGGTAAGCGATGAAGGGATTTACTTTAGATATATTTATTTTTTCCCGATCTATAAGGAAATCTGAAAATCTCATGTGTCGTGTGTCATATCTCAGTGTTGGACCAGTCCAAAAGCCTACAGCAGTGCTATTCAATACAGATGAGGGAAACTTTTTTTCCAGGAAAAAAAATAATGATAATAATAAAGATTTTAGAGAAAATGTTGCCAGGATTATTTCCGATATGTAAATATGTCTAATATGTAAACTTGTATTTGTTCCGAGATATTGTTTTGTTTTTTGTTTTTTTCGTTTTTGTTTCTTTCCGGGCAGTTTTGTACACTTACTAATTCCAAGAAGATATTTTAATATGATTTCATTTATGAATCTGACCATTTATATATATATATATATTTATTTCTTAAAAGTGTTTGGAGCTTTTTTGTTCAGCTCTGTTAATGGTTACGTTGCAGTGGACTTCAGTATGTTTTTTTCCTTTTTGTTTACTACATTGGTTGTATGTTGATTGCTAAATGTAGACTGCAAAGTCACATTTATATTTATGTTATAGTAATATTTTATTACTTACATAAAACATATATACAAGAAATGGTCTTCTGTCTTCATTAAAATCCAAACTACTCGTCTTTTGTTGATGTCTGCTACAGAATCACCAGGCTAGAAAAAAATAAACCTGATCATCAAGTTGAATGCTTTTCACTGTGCTGAGCATCGGGAAGAAGTGAGCACCCCATGTGTTCATTTTAAATAGCAGTGATTCGTTATGTAACAGGGGATCGTTTAAAATCAGAAGCTGTGTACATGTGCTGTTAAGGGGAATAGACAACAGTATTTTACCTCAGGCATTCCCTGCTAAGTTCACAGTCTGTGACGTTGTTCACATCTTTGTGTAAACGCAGTATTAAATTGTGCAATATAAATACGGAATTACTGTCTTTTCATTGAGTGATTATTACTATTATTATCATCATCATCATCATTATTACTATTATTTAACAGAGGCGTTTGTAGCTAAAATATGCTTTCTGGAATTATAATTTGAGCTGTATTCTTTATAAAAAAGCATCGATCATCACTTGACGTGTTTTAGGCATTTAAAAGGCGAATTGTGATGAATCTTTGATCTCAGACAGAAGTGCCTGCAGGCAAACATCAGCCTCTTTTCCAAAGATAGAGAGAGGAAAAGGCACACAGGCCCATAGGATCGACATAAACGACGGGCCCTAAACTTTTATAAGGATAAAGACAAGCCTAATAAACAGGCAGCATATTTATGTGTTTCTAGCATTAAAAAAATCGACATCACTAAATAGTAAATTAAATACAGTCTCACCTCATGGAGCCTTCTGTCAATTACAACGGAACAAAGCGGCAGAAAGCAGTATTTTTTTACATTTGCATGTGTAGATAAAACCAACATATATGTAGTGAAATTTGTGCAGCTGCGGATATTTTAAGAAAATTTACTGTTTATTGATACATGACGAAAACCGAGAAAATTAAAAAGATTTACTGTTGATTTCTCTTATTGAAGTAGCCACTACTAAATGGGATTATAGCTAAAATCTAAAGTTTGCGTTTCTTGATGAATTTATTCTTTTAGTAGAGGATAGTAAATTCATATTATTAATAATTGCACATTTATATTTACGCATTTCCTCGTGGTTTTTGTGGTGATCGTACAGGAACTCGCAATGCAAAGTTTTGTGTCCCGTTCAGTTTAGCCACTTTTTAATTTTTTTTAACTTTCTTAATAAATAATGCCTTCGTCTGTTAGTATACATATATATGCACCAACGTTAAAATTTCTCTTCGTGAATTATTTCCTTCAATTTAGGATGTTCCGATTAATTTTAAACATGATTTTGTGAGCATCATTTGTTCATCCATGGCATGCCTTTGGAAAACTGCGATAAAATAACAAGAGAAACAAAAAACAAAGCAAAAATTCAGATTGTATTGGGGTTTTTTTAGTCGATCTTTGGTGCTTCTGTGATGGAAGTGTAAAAGTTTATTTTTTTTCATAGGCTGAGGTGGTCAAATTGTGGGAGAAGAGGCCACATTAGGAAGCAAAGCAATTGCCAGACAACAGCGAGTCGCAGGCGCCCCCTGCTGGCTAAACTGGGGTACTTCAAAGTCAAATGAGCCTTAAAACGAGGAACGTAATATTCCAATAATCATCAGGAACGAGATTATTTCTCTTCATTGTTTGTGGCTGTGTCAGAACCTTTAGCTGGCCAATCTTCAAACAGCTTTACAAAAGTTAAACAAAACACTGCGCTCTAATTCCTTTAGTCCGCTATCAAGCTAATACATAAATTCATTTGGGCTAAGGTTTATGACTCTGATAGACATTAAAAGGGTTTTTGCTGCTTGTAGCATTTTTTGGCACCCCCCTAGAGAGATTTTATCCAGATACAGTGAAAAAGCTTTAGTGTTTTAATGATAATAGCAATAATAGTAAAAGAAATCACTATTATAATTTTTTTATTTACCCAAGTATAATACAGATTTTTGTTTATGAAATGTTAGTTACATGAAAAATACATAGATTCCAGCTAAATAAGGTTACACAGACTCATTGCCTCTGCTATACCTGGATCAATCATGCTTACTGTCATGTTACCCGCCCCCCAAAGGCCCATACTAAGCTGAGGAACACCCTGATAAACTGTTGAGAATGACTTTTTATGCACAGCCTTGCATCCAGTTCATCTCTTCATAGTAAACAGCTTCTCAATGAGCCACTTGTTCTCATTATTAAAAGTTTTATAGGTGAGTCAAACAGAGATCAAACAACAGGCCTGCCTGTGTTAGATCAGGCTCACAAACCACCTAAAGTGACCAGCAGAAATTGTGGCAAATGCACAGAGGCCTGCAGAGGGGACATAGAAGGCTAAACAGAAGACATCCACAGTTGACCAGACATGAGAGACTGTGGTGACTCACACCAACTGTTATTTTTTGATGATATGCAATTTTTATTCTGCACCGTATGGAGGGACACAACCTCCATTATGCCATTAAATCAATAATACATGAGGAGAACTCATCACAAAACAGCAAAACCCAGGTATTTGACCTAAGTATCACTGCAGTTCATTCTTTCCTCCCTTCCATCTCATTCACTCTCAGCAGTTTGCTTTCCTACTGAGGGGGCCCTCGGCAGCCCTTGCAGTGGAGCTCCAGCCTCAGCACTGCCCGGGCGCCGATGAACACCAATGCCTCCTTCATCAGGGAAGTATCGTCACACACAGGAGATGTGGATTAGTGATGATTAGCAGGGATTATGGCTGGTTAATGGTGGGAAAATACATTAGGAACCATCGGCTCTTGGAGGGGGAGGGGATTTCACTCACACTAGCGGATTTGCATTGATCCACAGCAAATGAATGAGGATTAGTAGCATCAAGCTATCTGCCAACAGATAAATAACATTAAGCGTATTATACGCCAACGCCTGCTATTAATGACATTACAAACACCACTACAATGCTGGCAATTATGGAAATAATAGGAGCAGCTGAATAAGTTAGGCTGGGATTCTTGGGATTCCAGCTCATTCTCATGGAGAGGTTTGGGGTGATGCTGGAAAGTCAAGCTACTTAGTGGCAAAGACGCATGTAGCTTTTGGGTACCACCGTCTACTGGGACATACTTTAAGGGGTTTATATATTGTTAATGTTCTGATTTTTACTAAATAATTTATCACTGCTTTTATAGGCTGGTAACAAGCCTTTCGTAATCCCATGTTTTACGTTTCCAGGCTATGAAATTTCATTTTGGTTGTCATACAACCTTGTGCAGCAAAACATGTCTTTTTAACTGTTACCTTAATTTATCCAAAAGAACCCTTTCAGAGATGAGCAGCATTTGTAGAAGAGATGAAGAAGACCTGGACCAGAAGGGATTCTGTAAGATCAAATAGTTAAACCTTTGGTAAATATTTACTCATAGACTCTAACTTGCCAACTCAAAGGCAATATTTGCTTATTACTCATAAAAAACATTAATATATCCATTAAAAAAAGGGAACTAAGACAAAGAAGCAAGATTTAATACACAGTGGTGTGTTAATGATTTTCTTTAATATTAGACGTTCTAAAAAAATGTGAAAAGAAATGTGGTGAATAATTTAAACAGTGTTGATAAGTCGCAGTGGCTACCAAAGTATACTTTGTCCTTTGGTATGCCCATGTGTATCCATTTTCATTTTATTGCAGTTAATGGTGAAGTTCTGCTGGATCAATACTGACATCTTTATGCAATCAAAGTGCACGAGGATGGCATCGACAATATTTGTAACAAATTACATCTATCATATTACTCTGTAGGTAGGAGTGCAGAGAAGGCGACAGAGCCTGTAGCTTCCTTATTCTCCATTTCTACCTCTTCCTCTGGCCGAGTTCTCCTCTCCTCTTCTCACCGTTTATGTAATAAATACTCCTCTCCCACAGCGAGCGGTAGAGAAAGTGGGGTTGGAAACTGGAAAAAGAACAGAAT